TTAATATTTTAACACATATTGATTAAATATAAGACTGTAAAGAAAATTAATTCTTCACACACACATACAGAAAAACTAACTCCACTCTAGCACTCCCTGAAATACAGTGCACCCCCATCAGTACCAGTGGTTCTTGCAAAACATGTTGCAGGTGTTCTCCCAACCTTTTACCTTGGGTGAGAATTAGAAGAGGTAATATGGAGGTGATAACTTGCTCAACGTTAGTATCAATGAATAGTACTCCTAAGGACAGAGATAGTATCTGTCTTATTTACCATTGCCTCCTTGGAATCTTGCATACTGCCTGCTATGTAATATATATTTGCTAATAAAATGAAAAAAACAAAACTTACCAATATTTTTCCATAGCATATAGTGGAATTACTTTGGTACTGAAACTTAGTCACAGAGTTAAACCATGCCAGGGGACAGCACAGCCTTAGTAGTTTAGATTTTAATAAGTCAGACCCAGAATGTGTTTAAATAAAAAGTTGAGAAAAACGTTTTCTTACGTAGGAGATCTATTTTCTAAAAAGATACCCAGTAAATTGTCTTCAAAAATAGGCCTAACATGATAATCATAGTAATGACCTAAAAACAAGCATATTCTGACTCACTAAAAAAATATTAAATAGTTCCGGTATGAAGTATGTTTGTTTTCTAATTCTTTAAATCTAGGAATGGGTTGAAAATTTGTTTTCACATGTGATGTGATAATAGGAAGGGGTAAATGGGAATTATTATAAGTGATGAAGAGTATAAATGCTTTCTAACTTTTTTTTGCATAGATGGAATGAGGTGTTAACAGTTGCTTTGACTTTGTATTTAATGTAAGTCTGCTTGATATTATACATTTAAGGAAAATAAAAATTAAGAATACCAAATCCTTTAGGGTAGAAAGTTTCTTAAAACATGATTAGAAAGCTAAGAAAATAGTTATTATTTTTATTTTTTTATTCTTAAGTAAATGCCATTGTCAAAAATAAACTAATTTGATTTGGTTCATTTTTAGTATGAATATTAAAAGTGATGTTGAATGTTACCTTTATTTCATGTAAATGGTAAAGCACCAGGTTCCTAAATTATTTTGGCTAGACTTTGGTTGACTAGATATACATAGTGTTAAAAGCTCTAAAGTTCTAAATATTTGTATTTACAGGCACAGAATCAAAAGTTTCTGTGGGAATTTTAAATATAAAACTTGAAATGTACCCACCACTCAATCAAATGTTATCTCAAGAAGTAGTGAACACACAGGTAAATAATTCTAAGTTTCTCTTTTTTGTGTATTTATTTTCATAGTAGTGTATTTACCTGTTGATCCTAGAAAGTACTTTTTTTTAAGAAAATTATCATTTATTACTTTTTAGATTAGCAGTCAAAGGTTGACAAAAAAGATGAGAAAGAAAATAAAGACAAGATTGTTTTCTTAGGGAAGCCTGTAGTCTAGTTTGGGAAATAGGATGAATATTCATTGAAACAACATAAGAATTACAAAGCTGAAGGGGATAAAGGAGTAAGAGGTGACAGTAGGGGGAGAGATTTTAATGTTAATCTCACAGACATTTATTGAGAGCTTGCTGCTCCTGTCATTTCTGCTGTGTACTCTCAGGGTAGAAGAGCTTGGCATTTTTGGAATGTGTTTGGAGAGGCTTGCTCTCCTAATTGTACTGTCAGGCCTCTGAGGAATCACTTTCTTCTGGGTCTTGTAAGATCAGTGGGTTTCTTCATCCCTACAAATTGGATTTGCCATACCTGTTTAGTCCTTGCAGTCCTTAGTTTTTCAGGTCGTGATTATCTGCTGACTTGTTGGGATGGCACTGTGGAAAGATTCTCCTTGATCACATACTTTAGTTCTGAAATTGTTCCTTTACTCCACTCTGCCTGTTACAGTATTCCTTTTATAGATCTTTGGTTACTTAGTTTTAGATGGCTTGACTCTTCTCCCCCAAGCAAACAATGTCCTGCCCTGTTTTGTTGAAACCTCCTGTTCTAAAGTCTCATCTCCCTCTAATCTGTAGCACCTGAGATGTGTAAGGGTGGTATATATACCTGAAACCACGTAGTGGGAATCAACCTTAATATTATTTGAATAAATAAATATGTATGTGTGTATGTACGCACATATACATATGTGTATATATGAGTTGTAATTGTGTTATTCATGACTTATGATATAAGTAAATGAGTTCTATCTTTTTGATAGTAACTTTATTTTATTGACAAGTACAGGGGTTCTATTTTTTTAAGCTTAACATCATTTAATAAACATTTTCTCATGTTTCTCTCATATCATTTTTAATGACTAAAGCATAAACTTATTCTCCTATTTCTGTTATATAAATTGTTTCTAATTTTCCAGGCTTTCTCTTTAAAATTACACTATTATTAAATTTTTTTATATCAGAAATATTTACTGATCTTAAACAGATGTTAGAATGTACCAGACACTGGGAGTGTGGCTATGTATAAGGCAGACAGCTTGCTCTTAAGGAGTTTAAATTCTGGTGGGAAGAAACAATAAACAAGTCAGTAAACAAAATGTCAGATCATATGTTTTTTGTTGAGAATGATGGCAGGTGATATGATAAAACGGTTATTGGGGGTGCTGATTTAGATCAAGTGCTTAGGGTAGGGAAAGGTCTGAATGGTAGGAAGCAGCCAGCCATGCAAACATGGGGCTTGAACTTCTGGGCAATGGGAACAGCGTAGAGCAAAAGGCCCTATGCAGGAACAGAAGCCCCATGTGGCTGGAGTGTAATGGGTATGGGGGTAGAAAATGAGATAGATAGAGGCCAGGGCAGGTAGTTTGCAATGTGACGGAAAATGATTAAAGTGTTTTAAACAAGGGAATAAAAGAATATGCTTTATTATTTAAAAATTTCTGTCTTGGGGGAAAAGAATAAGATCACTTATGACTACTGTATGGAGACTGGATTGTACTGGGGTAGGTATAGAAACAGGGAAGTCATTAGGCTCTTATAGACAAGATGATAGTGGGGCTCAGAGTAGTAGTAGTGACAGGGAGAAGTAGATTCGTTGCATATTTTGTAGTAATTAAGGAGAATGAATAGAAATTTAAAAATTTTTTTAATTTCAAGCTTGCTTTGGAACGCCAGAAAACTGCAGAGAAAGAGCGATTGTTTCTCGTATATGCTAAGCAGTGGTGGAGAGAATATTTGCAAATTCGACCCTCACACAACTCACGGCTGGTTAAGATTTTTGCACAGGTTTGTAAATCCCATCAGAAAAGTTTCATGCCTGTATTTGAGATTTACTATTATATATGTAAATTTCATTTAACTTATATTTCTAAAATATATTTATTCCCAAAAAAAGTTTATTTGTAAAATGTTGATTTTGTAATACTCTTTCACTGAATAGATGAGTGACATAATGCAATCTTTGTTTTATTTTGCTTTCAATTGTAATTATTGTATTCTAACCTCTTTCTGAATGTATTTGATTTAAAGTAAATGAAAATCCATTTTGTTTAACTTGCAGTGTGTCCTTGCTTGATACTTAGAATAATAAACAACCACTTGGACACTTTGCAGTTTATATGTAAATTCATCCCTTGTGTGCAGAACTGGGGCTTTGAACATACATATTTTTTTGTTAGTGGTTTTTTTAAAAAACAATCAGTGTTACATGTAATAATGTATATAACCAAGATCTCCAAGCCAGTGACCAGTAATATTTAACTGTAACATTTCAGCTATATATCCCTGCCTCTGTTTTTCCTGAGTACTAAACCTATTTTCTCTCTTTAACAAACCAACATAAAATATATGGTCAAATCTGTATAATTTTTATAACTTCTGAGGAACCATTCAAATATTTTTTATGTATTCAACCTCATATAGATGCTTATATATAAATATAGTGTAGTTTTATTTTGGCTTCTGTTTCTCAGATCCTGTACATTGATCTAGCTTTACCTTGCTTTCCCTAGATTTAGCCCTACAGGCTAAAAGTGGTTCATTTTCTGGGTAGGGAGCTTGGGAATGAGAGACCCTAATTGGCTAGTGGAGGGAATAAAGGAAATGGCTTCTGACTTTTCTGGACACGTACATTGAAAGCCTGGGTTATCAAGGTGGCAACAATACCAGAAGCCAGGGAAAGGAGAAACCAATCAAAATATAACTGGCTCCCTGCTGCATCTAGTCTGAGGTAGAGTTATTCATTGCCACATAGTTTCTGGGACCAGAGAGGACTGAGGAGGGGGTGAGGTAGTGGATCAGAGAAATGGCAAATCAAAGGAAAGGAGGAAGAATTTGAGATGCTACTAAGGAAATCAAGGAACTGGGATTTTCTTTTAGGAAATATTACTTAAGTCCCTGCCTCTTAGAATTGATTGTAAGAAGATTTGAAGCACATAAGGTCATTTAGTCTCATAATAATCACATAAGATTGTCCAGTGGCCAGGCGTTGCCTCTTTTTGTAAACAGTACAAAGGATAGAGAAGTGAAGAGTCCAGATAGCAACTTGATCCTGGCAGAGTCTGTATTAAATTGTAGTTTGAACTAGTGCCTTTTTGGTTTATGCCAGCTCTTACCATGTACACAGAGTACATGAAAGGGTTATTTTACTTAGATTCCCAGAGCTCTTTCTTACTACTGCTTCCTGTATTTGACAAGCTATGTAATTAAGGAACAAGTTATTTAAGGCAATCAATCTAGTTGTAAAAACTGTAGTTATAAACCACAAAATTATTATGCATAGTGTGAAAAACAATTTCCAGTGCTTCCAGACCCAAGAGGAAATAAGTTTACAGCAGTACTATCCTATAGAACTTTTCTGTAATGATGAAATATTCTATATTTGTGCGGCCCAATATGGTGACCACCAGTCATGTCTATTGAGTACTCAAAATGTGGCTAAGGTGATGAAAAACTAAAATTTAAGTTTTATTTAATTTTAATTAAAATTTAAATAGCCACATGATTAGTTGCTTTGTTATTGGATAGTGCAGGTTTAGAGGTTGAAATATTGAAATTTTCAAGACACATAAATAGCTTATAGGATATTTAGATAATATCAGAAATATTGCTGTAATGAAATATATGTAAGTGGCCCTTTCACTTTGCTATATCAGTAACTATGAAATTAAGGAAAATGTGGGCTTTGGTAATATTAACTCTAAAGAAATGGTGGACAGCCCTCGGAGACCTTTATATGCACAGTAGTTATTCAGCACAGGCACTAAGACAGATCCTGTATTTAGAATGTAAAACTTTCTAAAATGCCTCTCAAAATTTTGCTTTCAATTGACTTAATTAACAAATTATTGTTTCCTGTGGATCTCTTATGTTTGATGCCCTAATAGAAACAATCTAGAAATAAACTTAGATCATTGTTGTTTTATCAATCAGAAAAGTTATTTGTTCTGTCTGGATATATATCGTTAAATTCTGTATGGTAATACGAAAGAATACTTCAGCTTGGGGCCCCTCTCCCTTCCTTACCTTTCTTTCTGCCCACCCTTTTCTCAGAGTTATTCTTACTGTCACAGGCTTTGGAGTCAGACAGCTCAGGGTTTGAATCCTAGCTCTTCTGTTGCATAATAACTGTAGCTTCAGTTTTCTTCAGCTATAAACTGAAAATAAAAGATGTTATGAGGATTAAAAGAGAAATTATATGCACAGCAGTTGGCAGCCTAGTGCTGGGTGCAAAGTAAGCACTCAATAAATGGTATCCAGAATTATTTTATCCTACATTAATGTATTCTAAAAAAAAGTTAAAATTGGGGATGATTAGTCTGTCGTTACAGGTAGCATTTTCCCCTTCTTCCTCCAGGATGAAAATGGGGTAAATAGGCCAGTTTGTTCCTATGTTAAACCACTTCGAGCTGGACGGCTTCTGGATACTCCAAGGCAAGCAGCAAGATTTGTTAATGTCCTTGGTTATGAACGAGCCCCGGTTATTGGAGGAGGAGGTAAACAGGAACAATGGTGCACTCTGCTGGCCTTTCTCTGTAGAAACAAGGTATCATACACACATAATAGAATTAAATAGCAGTACGTCATAGTTATTCTGAATTTACATTTGTAAAAAGATACCTTAGAAAAATGAACGTACAGTTGGCCCTCTGTACCTGTGGATTCTGTATCTGGATTGAAAGTATTTTTTAAAAAAACCAATAAAATGTAACAATACAATAATAAAAATTAATACAAACAAAAACAATACAGTGTAAGAACTGTTTACATAGCATTTACGTTGTGTTAGGTATAAGTAATCTAGAGATAATTTGAAGTATATGGGAGGATGTGCATAGGTTATATGTAAATAATATGCAATTTTTTATAAGGGACTTGAGCATCGGCATGTTTTGGTGTTCAAAGGGGTCCTGGAACCAATCCCCCACAGAATCCCACAAATATATTTGGATGAGAAATTGACTTGTCATTAGAAAGGTTGTGTCTTAAATACACTTGAAAGACAGTTAAACATTACTTATCAAAAAATTTATTTTGATTTTTTTATTTCCAAGTGGTAATTCCCAAAAGTTGTATATACATATAGAAACTTTTTTATTGCAAACATAGTAGGAATGGTACATATTTAAAATTATTACATAAATGTTTATTTTGTAAAATAATCACTCCTTTATTCACTATTTCAAAGAGAAAGCTCATCTTAAAATAGAAGCTTGAAAATTCTTCAAATATTTAAAATATTTTTGTTGTACAACAGTAAATGTGAAACTTGGCCCATAAGTCTATTCCCAATTTATCATTTCTTTTTATATTTTTGTTTTTCTCCTGTATATGTATCATTTATTCCATAATTATAATTAAGATATAAATAAAATTTTGTATCATACTTTATAACTTAGCATTATGCTACATTTTTTCATGTGTTGCTATAGTCTTTGTGATTTCCATTTTTAATGGTTGTTTAAGTTTTCTTGAGTCAATATACAAAATCTACTTAACTATTTCCCTCTTGTAGGAACTGTTTCTTTTGGCCAAGTTATGCTTGCTTCCAATTTTTTGTTACTGTGAATGAACTTTTACATTGAATATTTACTTCTGAATTTTTTTAGGACAAAAACTCAGAAATATTGGATCTAAAAGGTTAGCTACTGTGTTTTTGTAAAGTCACTTAAATAATTATAAAATGCTATATTTCATTACAGTTAATTTTTAAAAAGCAGTATAGAGCCACTAATGCAAATTTTTTGGAGAAAAAAATTATCCTTCATCCTAACAGTCAACTCAATAGTTATTTTTGGCTGGGCATGCTAGCTCACACCTGTGATCCCACACTTTGGGAGGCTGGGGCAGGAGGATTGCTTGAGGCCAGGAATTGGAGACCAGCCTGAGCAACATAGTGAGACCCCATCTCTACAAAAAAATTAAAATTAGCCGAGTGTGGTGGCATTCCCTTGTAGTCCCAGCTACTTGCGGGGGCCAAGGCGGGAGAATCACTTGAGCCCAGGAGTTTAAGGCTGCAGTGAGCTCTGATCACGCTACTGCCTTCCAGCCTGGGCAACAGAGCAAGACTGTGTCTCTGCAGGGGGAAAAAAGTTATTTTTGCTTTTTCAGATTGCCTGTAGTTTTCCTACACTTAAATACATGTCTTTACATAATCGTAGCCATACTGTTTAATATTTTAGTAATTTTTCGCAGAACATGTCAGATAATTTCTATTACTTTTGTAAAAGTCTTCATAATTTTTTAAAATTGTGAAAGTAATATAAGCATATCAAAGAGAATTTGGAAAGTACAGGGAAAATTATATATAACTTACCCTACTAAGAGCCTTTGTTAGCATTTTGTTCTTTCTTCCGTTTTTCCTATATGTATATTTCTTTGAAATTATCACATATAGATGCCATTAATTCATTGGTTTAATGTGTTTTCTATTTATTTACATTTCTTGCTGTATGATTTGTCCGCTTGCTCAAGTCCTTTAGCTATTATATTTATTGTATATCTATTAAAAATCTTCCTACTTTTCTTTCTATGTTATATGAGTTCTTTATAAACTTTTGAATCTGAATGCCCCCTATTAAAGTAATATACATGTTACGACCATCAGATTTGTAAGCACTAACTTTGTAAAATAATTTAGGCTTTTCTAAAATTAGTATATTATCTTTTTTCCCTGTTGTTTAGGCATAACACTGGGCTAATGATTAAAAGTGAAAAACTTTACCAATAAATTTTTATTATAACTTTGTATGTAAATACTTAATGAGGAAATAATATGAAGGAATAAATACTTCATTTTAATTTGTCTTCTAGGGTGACTGTGAAGATCATGCTAATCTTCTGTGCAGCCTTCTTCTTGGGTATGGATTAGAAGCCTTTGTCTGTGTTGGCACTAAGGCAAAAGGAGTACCTCATGCGTGGGTTATGACTTGTGGAACTGACGGAACAATCACTTTTTGGGAGAGTTTAACAGGACACAGGTTAGTCTACTAAGTTTACAAGGATATTAAAATGAAAATATAAATGTTTTAAATTACAGAGTTTTATGTTCATGTTGATGGTACTTGAAAGGTTCATGTTGACAGTTTTAGTTATTAGAGTCTTTTCAGTGACTAAGAAAATACTTGAATTATAGCAGCTAAGTAAATGAACTCCAAGAAAATTTGTACTCCTAAAATATTCTTTACTAACATGAAACTGGTAAGAAGTAAATTATATTTTAGTTTTGTATGATTGGCATCTGTTTTTTCTGGTGATCATCCTTAAGCCTAAAAATAAGTTCAAGTTGTAAATCATGATTTCTTTTGAAAATTTGACATGGCTACAAACTTCTTGTTGGTAAATCTACTGGACATTCTTTTCAGTAATTTAGGCTGTTATCAGATTTTGAGAGTTGAGTGCTTCCTCCTTCCTGGAACATTTTCTTTTCTTGGCTCTGTGTTTCAGTTTGCATTATTCCTCTCTGGCTATTCTTTCTCAGTTTTCCTTCATCTTTCTTTAAATGTGTGTTCTAGAGGCACAGCCCTGGGCCCTCTTCTCATTCCCCTGGATCTTTTCTCCCTGGTTGATAATCATTTTGGTTAGTTATGCCTAATAATATATAGTTAAGTTTTTTAATTGTGTTATCTGAGATAAACTTTTTTGATCTTAACCATATACATGGAATATATTCTGTTGTTAAAGGAATAGAGTTGGTTTCTATATTAGAAGTTATACCATAGAATTATTACAGAGTAATCAAATTGTGGAAATATAAGAAAGAAAAATAAGTATAGGAAGTAGTTATGGCCTTAAGTTTTAGAATTTTTTTTTTCAGTAAGATGCTGCCTTCTTAGTTTTGAAGTTCTCATTATATGAAATTATGATTTAATTTTTTTAGGTACATCCACAAGCCTACCAATCCTGATGAACCTCCACTTGCTGAACAGCCCAAACCATTGTACCCATATCGAACAATTGGTTGTGTTTTCAATCATCAGATGTTCCTGGGAAATTGTCAACCCTCTGATGCAGTAGAAACCTGCGTATTTGATTTGAACGATGAATCCAAATGGAAACCTATGAGTGAAGAAGCAATTAAATCTGTATGTGCTCCAGGAGCTACAACATCCCTTCCTCCCTTTCCACCTCTATGTGCGTCCACAATTGACGCATCAGTAACAAGTAACGAAATAGAAATGCAACTGAGGCTCCTAGTGTCGGAACATAGGAAGGTAATTGACGTTGAAATAGTTGTAATTTCAAACTTTTTCCCATTTGTTTGTTTATTATTTTACTTATTTATTTTGGGCTATAGGGCCAGTGACTATTCTAACCCTGAACAAAGCAAATATAGTCCCTGCCTTTGTGAAGTTTAGAGTTTTGAAAGTCATAAGACTTTCTCAGACTTAAGTTCTGAGACTGAAAAATTTGCAATTTCACTAATACTTAAAGAATTTATTACTTCCTCCTAGAAATGAAGAATGGTGGACTTTACATCTTAGAGTCAGACTTTTGCTGAATATCACTATTTGGATTTCCTCTTTGTTAGATGCTTACTCAAATAATTTCCCTAGTAAAAATGCTTGGTTATATTTTTTTCAAATTTATTTCTCCCTTCAGATTGGTTTCTGTTTGTTTTCCTATTACACTCTACTGGGTAGATGTAAAATGATATCATTCTGACTTTACTTAATTTGCATTTCCCTGATTACTAATGAGATCAAGCCTCTTGTGTATTAGTCATATGGATTTCTTTTGTAAAGTGCCTTGACATAAAAAGGACTAATCATATAGGAAAAATTAATATATGTTCATCGAAAGAAAACATTAAGATACTGAAGCCTTGGAGTGGGAAGTTATTTACAACACATATAACCAACAAAGGACTTAGAATTCAGCATTCCTACAAAAGATTATTTCTGATTCACCTTCTGGGGTTCCCTGTTACATTCCCCACCTATGTTCCCTGAAGCCATCAACAGCAAACTGATTTATCAGATATGTTCTCTGGGTTTCTAATTACTTTCAGCTTTAGCCTCTAACATATTCCTTGTTCACTTGCCAACTCATCAAAGCATTTAAAAGTATATTTTGGAGAATCTAAGGCATTTGTAGTATGTTTTCAGTAACAGAGTTGGTCAGGAGACCTGGTTCATTACACTACTGGAAATGAAAGCCCCTCATTACTTCCCCTTTCCTTTCCATCTCTCGTATTGCCTTTAGCTTTCTTTCCTTAGGTTCTTTTCACAAATAAAAGCAGTATTTTATTACATTATAAGAATTACTTTTTATAGGAAAAGAAAACAAAGCTGAGATAGATGCCAGTGGTAATTACTAGCTAAGTTAATGGTGCCTGAAAATGAGCAAATAAGATTCACGTTTTGCCATAGGAAAAGTACAGTTGATCATGGACCTTCGAGATCACTTGTGACCAGTTAAAACCTTGAATGTGAAATTAGAAAATGCTAAAGATCTATTGTGATCATCAAAATATTTAGAATTTTGAGAAGTTTTTTATGTTTGTAATTGAATATATATATTTTTTTTACTTTATGTGTCTAGCTATCAATAGTTCACTTGGTATTATAAATGAAATCATATTGCTTTTAACATTCCATAGAAACATATTTTAAGCTTCCCGAGGGCCTGTGGCATCTTCACCTTTTATCTTCCTACAGTATAAAAGTCTGTGCCTGTTACAGAGTAATTGATCAGTAAATATTTGTTTAATTACATATGGCATTAATTTGTGACTTTTCTCCCCTACTGCAGTTGAATTTACAATAGGAGCAATCAAATTAGTCAGACTTAATCTTACTAAATTCTTTTTTTTTTTTTTTTTGAGACAGAGTCTTGCTCTGTTGCCATGGGTAGAGTGCAGTAGCATCATTATAGCTCACTGCAACCTTAGAGACCTAGGCTCGAGCATTCCTCCTGCCTCAGCCTCCTGAGTAGCTGGGACTACAGACATACACCACCATGCCTGGCTGATGTTTTCTATTTTTAGTAGAGACAGGATCTCACTTTTACTCAGGCTGGCCTTGAACTCCTGAACTCAAGCAGCCCTCCTGCCTCGACTTCCCGGAGTGCTAGGATTACAGGCATGAACCACTGCGCCTGGCCTTACTAAACTCTTTAAATAAAATATGATCTCAAAATTCACTGACACTGTGTCTTCCATATTAGGACTATGCCATATGGTCTTTTTTAGTAGATATTAAAGATAGTCTACTAGATATTAAAGAAGTTTAGTATTCAAAGCCTTCATGAACATAATTGAATGTTTTTGGTTATTTCTCTAAGAAGTATTATAAAACCTGATCACTGGCCGGGCACGGTGGCTCACGCCTATAATCCTAGCACTCTGGGAGGCCGAGGCGGGCGGATTGTTTGAGCTCAGGAGTTTGAGACCAGCCTGAGCAAGAGTGAGACCCCCTCTCTACTAAAAAAAAAAAAAAAAAGAAATTATCTGAACAACTAAAAATATATAGAAAAAATTAGCCGGACATGGTGGCGCATGCCTGTAGTCCCAGCTACTCGGGAGGCTGAGGCAGTAGGATCGCTTGAGCCCAGGAGTTTGAGGTTGCTGTGAGCTAGGTTAATGCCACGGCACTCACTCTAGCCTGGGCAATAGAGTGAGACTCTGTCTCAAAAAAATAAAAATAAATAAAGCGTGATCACCTATAGTTCTTTTTATTTTATTTTTATTTCTATGCATCCTTAAAATAATTAATAGGAAGTTTAAAAAATTATGACAGCTTTTAAAAATATTTTCTTGACATACATTACCATAATCAACATTTTCATTTACTTGGTTTTTAAAATATTAATGTATTTCACTTTTTCTTTTGATTGGTATAGGATCTTGGCCTCACTACTGTTTGGGAAGACCAGCTTTCCTACCTTTTATCACCAGCTCTGGCTTCTTATGAATTTGAGCGTACAACAAGTATATCTGCAGGCAATGAAGAATTTCAAGATGCCATAAGGAGAGCTGTACCTGATGGGCACACATTTAAAGGGTTCCCAATACATTTTGTGTATAGAAATGCAAGACGTGCGTTTGCCACATGTCTTCGGTAAGGTGTAATTTATGGATTCATAACTTTTTTGGTTTAGGAGTCTTAGAGATCATTTAGTCTGGTAGTTACTTAGAAATGAAATCACAATCACATGAGGAACTTTTACAGTGGCGTACCCTCCTTGCCACAGATTTGATTCATTAGGTCTGAAACGTAGTCCTGGATAGTCTGTGATAATTTTCCCAGTGATTTCGATGAGTCTCAGTTGAGGATCTCTGATCTTGTCTATATGTTTTTAAAATTTATAAACCACGAGGAAATAGTCTAATTTGAATAGCTTGACCAAAATTACAGAGTCATTGGTAGCAGAGACAGAATTTTAAAAAATTGTTTTAAATACTGGTTTATTTGGAAATAAACTGAAGTGTTTGGTCACTTTTTAATTGGGTAAATTTTTGTCTTATATAGGTCTCCTTTCTGTGAAGAAATAATCTGTTGCCGTGGAGACCAGGTGCGACTGGCAGTTCGTGTCCGAGTGTTTACTTACCCTGAATCTGCATGTGCTGTTTGGATCATGTTTGCTTGTAAATATCGCTCGGTATTATAGGGCTAACATTTCTATACACATTATACCTGCGTTTTATTGGAACTTTACACATTGTACATTATTAGCTATTTAGAGGTTTCTTATTTTAAAATCACAATCTGTCTTGGTTGTCATGTTTCAATTTTGTATATACCTGACTGATAATGTTTTAAAAAATCATGATGTGTGTATTTAAAAATTAAGGATGAAAAACTTATATAAATATCAGTGGAATTTAGTATAAATTAAGTGTATATTCTATTTTAATAAATGCTACTTTGTTTACAGGTATTCAGTAGTTTAAATATGAATATAAAATATACTCAGTTTACACTAACAAGTAATAAGAGAAATTTATCTAAGGGTTTGAGCCATAGCAAAGTCAATGTGATCATTATTTTGGAATTCTCTTGTGCAAATTAGGAGAAATTAACCTCACAACAAATTTAATACATAGGTGAAAATACATTTTGGTGGATTATCACTTTTGTGGTTTATCCATGGCCCTAGGGATATTTGAGATTTTCTAGAAATTTATAGTAAGACCTTGAAGTAAGAGTTGGGAAAAAACAAATACCACAGAAGCATAAATATTAATAACTTCACATGAAAGTACGTGAATAATTTATAAATATTTATCAGTTTGATTTGTTATAAAAATGAATTGGGTGTTTTAGAAAAACAATTATTATACCCCTTTTGTTATGGTACTGATAAATTGTTTTCTGTAATTAATCTTAGCAGTCTATCACTGATTTTCTGTGGTCAAAGGATTTATTACTAGCCTCTTCACGTATTCCATCTTCTGAAACCATTTTTTTCTTTCTTTTCTCATTTTGATAAAAATATCTATATATATGTATTTAATCTAAATGAGAGATTCATTGTGTGAGGCCACTGAAGACAAGTGTTGCGACTGACTCCATCCTGAGACTTGTTTTAAAATTGAGCAAGTTTTAAAAGTTAATTTTCCGTGAGCAAAAGTGAGCATTAAAAAAGACTCCAGCAATTCAACTTTTTGTAAGAAGCTGTGTGATATAAATGATAGGTTTGACTGTCCATTTGACATCTCTGCTTGGTTCTTAATTCAGTTGCTTTATCCATTGATCTTAAGAAAGCAACTGTATACCAGTTGGCTATCCAAGTTATTGGTTTTTTTCCTCATTTTAATGTACCCTTGCAAAGAATATGATTTTATTTTTTAAAAATTAAAATTCGAACATGTCTTAAAATTTGCCTTTTGTTTTATTTTTGTATATGTTAAATATTTATGATTTAACTTGTTTAAAAAGTTTGGAAATGTTACTATCCCTCTTCTACCGATTTTCATTGAAAATGGTAATCAGATGTTTCTTGTGAGACTGACATGAATGTAGAGAATAAGCAAAAGAATAAAGACTTTTTTTTACTTGTATGCCAAATTACACATAAAGCTATCAACAGAAAATCGCTTGTAATTTTCAACTTTTGAGACAAACTGTGATTCGTGTACTAAAAGGCAGAATTATATTAAGATTGAGGCTGTATTAACGTTGAGGCCGAGCTTCCTGCCTTACTGCACCGGAGTAACGTGTATTTTGAATGTGCTTTTGGTATAAATTCTAAAATAAATTTGCTTTTTATGCACTTTAATAGAGTCTGGCATTAATTAATATTTTTCTCTGAAGATGTTTTGTTTCATGAGATTATTTCAGTGCATTTATCACTAGAATTCTCTCTTCTTTAATAATTTTTTTAAGAATTAAATTTACCTTTTATGTTTAGCTGTCATAAAGGTTTTT